ACACAGACACAGACACAGACACAGACACAGACACAGACACAGACACAATGTGCAAACTCTACACACAGTTGCCTGAGGCTGGAATCGAACCAGGGACCCTGGTGCTGAGGCAGTAGTGCTGCCCAGCAGTGATTCTTCTGCTTTCTTTCCATTGATGCTACCAGACCTGCTGTGTTTTTCTAACAATTTCTGATTTCCAGCATCCATAATCCTTTTTGATTAATTGAGCATTGATCAGAGATACAACTTCAGAAGCTTCCTCTTTGTAATAGTAAAGCATTCTGAAACGTTCATTGCATGGATTGCAATGGTCCATGGAACTGCTTCCATGCTTTGTCGGTTGCACTTTCAGAACAGAGCCACTAATTATTCTCGTTTTGAGGGTACCACTTGAGATTTTCTTGGAGGTTACTTTTTGGTTTTTGGCGTTTTTTCTCATGCCCACTAACTTATTAGTTGATGCTGTCATGTAGCATTAAATCTTCTGTAATTTGTGTTGGCAAATGGAGTATTAGGACTGTGTCCCACAGAATTTGACAGGTTCCTCAACATCCTCAGTTACCACATCTATATTAAACTTAATGTCACGTTACAGAAAAAAACGTTCATTTCTTAGACATCACAGAACTGAAATTTGTATAATATAACTTAAGTTTTCTGAAAATAATAATTGGCACACTTCTACTCAAGAAAAATCATCACCCTGAACACACCTTCCATAGGCTAGTGAGGTTATAGCTAATGTGCCTTAATTGTATATGTACTAAGCTGGATCATTTTAACCAGGCCGTTACAACCCAATTTACTGCATCTGAAACTTCAATCTCAGATTTAAATTTAACAATTTGAGTGTGTTCATTGCAGTAAAATCTATTTTTTCAAAAGTTTGGTAGCTGCTGAACTAGCAAAGCTTTGAAATAGACATTTCACATTCATTTGAAAGGAATTTATTACCTTCGTCATTTGAAACTTTCTTGGATCCCAGCTAGCTGAGTATTCCTTTGGTGATCAGTTGGAAACTGTTCTCACTTTGTAGCCTCATTCTCGCTCCAACCTTAATCTCTTTTCACCCCTGCTCCTGGCATCCCTCTTAGAGCTGTCTCTTCCCCCTTGCGCTTTAACAGCTTCAATCTGCCCCATGCCTGTCTTTCAGCTGCCTCCAGCCTGCACCACCCGTCCCGTCCATTGATTTGAGTGTTTTGAGAGGCGGCAGATTCGTAGAATCATAGTTGTACAGCACATAAACAGACCCTTCGGTCCAACTGGTCCATGCTGACCGTATATCCTAAACTTATTTCGTCCTATTTGCCAGCATTTGGACTGTTTCCCTCTAAGTATTTCCTACTTATGTACTCATCCACATGTCTTTTAAACATTGCCATTGTACCAACCTGCATCACTTCCTCCGGCAGCTCGTTCATACATACCCCACCCTCTGCCTGAAAAAGTTGCCCCTTAGGTCCATTTTAAATCTTGCCCCTCTCAGCTTAAACCAATGCCCTCTAGTTTTACATCCTGCTACCCTGGGAAAGACCTTGGCTATTCACCCTATCCATGCCCTTCATGATATTATACATCTTGATAAGGTCACCCCCCAGCCTGTTCTGCATCTCCCTGTAGCTCCTTGAAACCACAACCTTCTGGCTCACGAGTCCAACTTTAAAGGCTTGAGCACAAAACTCTAGGCTCAAACTTCAGTTGGAGTTGCACCTTTCAAATCAGACATTAAACAAAGGCCTCATCAGCTCTTTCAGGTGGATTTGACTGATCCAACTGTTCTGAAGGTTAACTGTGGAATAATCTCACGCAGCATTTCTAAAACCCTATTGACACAAACGAATGAATAATACCTAAATTTCTGTTTGCCATTTTCAGCACTGCAAGAACCCACAATGACTGTAACCTCAAATTAGTACCTCACTGACTAATGCCGTTTTAGTACACCATGTAAAAGGCACTGCATAAATGCAGTTGTCTTGACTGCAGCACGTAGCTGAGCAAAAGCACACCGTGCCCCTGCCAGCTCTGATCACGATACCCTCTCCTCCAGGGCCTTACCCAGGCATGTTGCAGCACCTGTTCGTCAAAGATGCTGGACTCGCCAGGCCGGCAGCCGCAGTGAGGTGCCCGAGGTCTGGGCCCAGCCTCTCCGACTGCCTCCCCAGCCTCACCTTACAATCATTGTGGACAAACGTTATGCCAGACCCAGATATGCTGGCACCAAGCAGAAGTAACACTTTTTGATGTGCATTTTCACTCCAGCTTGTTACTTGACTGTGCAGTTCCTTGATACTGGCCTGTTGCTGCACTCACCTCTGTGTATTTTGAGCATTGTTTCAAGGGATTATTAATTTGAAATCCTTGCTTTCCAACACCCCTTGAGGTCTTTCCAATAAGATTGCGTCTTTTTGAACGTTTCCTTTCCAAAAATTCATTACCTTGCATGTCTCTGTGTAAAGTTGCCAGTATCTTTCTCTTTGGTGTTTTCATGTATTTTTATTGCTCTTAGGTACCAGCACCAACTTTTGTTCAAACATCCGTAGCTCCTGGTGAAATGTTCTATAATCAGGTAAGAAATCAAAAATGCATCCAAGTGCTGCAGCAAATGAAAGCCTATGACTATTACATATCTTTCAGGATCTCTTCTTCAAGAATTGACAATATTGGTAATTTATAATGAATTTTACATTTGGATCTAAAATAAGTCTTTCAATCATCTCTTTCAACTGTCTGATGTTTAACTAATGGCTCTTGATGTTGAATAAATTCTATATAAATTGAATATGACAAAGTTATCATGTTTGCTTTTCATTTTTATAAACCACAATTCAGTTCCCCAGTTAATTGCATAGCTATTTTCTGTTCCATCTGTTCAGAGTTGTCAGTACACACATCTGGAGCCAGTGGGAGTTGGCCCAGAGGTAGGGAGAATACCATTGCACCATAAGGGGCTGACCAGTTTAATTGTGTGTCACTTGTATTTAATTGCATACGGATGGGGGACATTAGTTGGGTTTTTCATGAACCAATATAATGAGATACTGAAATTTGGGTTTAGTTGAGCTTACTTTCTAAATAGTAGACTGAATAAAGATTGGCTTCAATTCTATCCTTCAACTGATCTTTCTGAATAAAGCACGCTACCAGTTCTTGACCATTTTGTGTTATGGACGTTGGTTCTTAAATTTTCTTTTCAGTCAATTTAGCCGCATTGTGCATTTTGTTGCATAAATGTATAGTTTTGTTTTATGTATGAGATTTTAGTTTTTTTCATGTTTCCTTCGGAGCTGCTTTTGAAAAGTGCGTTGCCTTTTGCCCTTTGGTAATGAAAGGCTTCTATTTGCATCATTGGTTTTAATATTGATTAGAAGAACATGAAAGGTAGCATAAGATTTAGACTAATTAAGTATAATTTTGTTCCTGAATACATTAAGGAATGTTGAATATCCCAGCTAGAATTTCTGTTGCCAAGCTATTGACCCACTGCATTTTGAGTGGAAGTAGTCTTTACACGTATTTGGCGACTTGAATTCATTTTTTTTTTTTAAAAAGACCAGTTTGGTGTGTAGCATAGTCCAAGGAGCACAGTAACCACCTCATCACTGTGGGGTTATGTTTGGAGAAATCCAGAAAATCTATTTGATTAAAAACTAATGACAATGTATTTCTTGTCATAACTTCACAAGCAGTTCATTTTTGATTGACAAGTTGATTAGAAGTACTCGATAAAGATGAAACCCTTAGCAAAGGGTATCAAGTTAAAGGATAGCTTTGCTCATTTACTACTGTAAAAAATGTAAAGCATTGATTCAATTTCAAAACGGCTTTCCCTACCCTGATCTCTTTGCTTTTCAAAAGATATGTTCTTAAATTTAATTTTAAATGTTAAAAAGTAATTATTGAACTTTTGGATCCTGTTGTCTGTTTTGATGGAAGCAATTTGGAGGGAAATTTACTATTTTCCAAATTGGCTGTGATTCTAAGGACTGAATGTAAAGGTGGAGAATTTTGAGGTAGAGTATGACAATATTGTCGAGCACTGTTAAACTTTAACAAGGATTTTTGAATATAATTGTTGACTGAAGATCCAGGATTGGTCATGGGATTTGGATGTGATGGATGAATGGGGTTTAAAGAATGTTGTGAATTTTGGACATTTAGCAATTATGTGATTTGCTGTCCTCCATGAGACCGGTAACAAAAGTGTTGGAACAGTTCGGTTCTGATGTAATTGCAGTGTTGATAAAGGTTAGGATGTCACTGGAAGTTGCAAAAATCTGGAATGACTGAAATGGCAGAAATGAGCTTCAGATCTCTGGCCAATTTTATTATCATGACAAGTTTCCATTAAATGAAATGGCAAGGCTTCTTATAGTCTTGTTCAACTTGAATGATTAGCTAAAGATAGACCTGGAGATTATGGCAAATGTTTTGGCAAGATTGAATATGATATTGGAATTCCCAGTGTCCAATTTTGAACAATTTCCATCTAAATTTGGTGCCTTAGTTGCAAAATGGCAACCATACATCAAGGGCGGTAATGCTGAGACAGAGTTGAACATCCACAGTTTAGGTGGAAGCTGACAAAGTAAATTTTAATTTGCTATAATCTTTAATTGGGGACTGGAATAAGAAAAGAACTGTTTTAAAAGCAAGAATTGCTGCTTGTTTTGAAAGCAAGTAATTTGGCACTTGGTGTTTACAACATTTACAAAGCTGCTTGATCAAGCAGTGATTTAAAGTGTGTTTGCAGATGAACTGGAACTGAGGGGATGTATACAGTTGGAACTTTGATGCATGTATCTGGTTTGTGGACTAGTAACCAGTTATTGATGACAAAGATCTTCTGCATTTCAACAGCTGTGGATCTCAGCTAGCTGGGCAATTTGGAGTTATGAATAAAATTCAGAGAAGCTTTAAGAATCATTTGAAGCCTGAACAAAACTAGTTTTACCTTTCCCATCTTACAGCAACTGAAGGATCTTTGACAGAGAGCTCACTGGCCACCCCCAAGAAATCTGTATTTGTAAGGGGATTACAGTTTCAGTTAGTAAAGTTTTGGACCATCAACATGTAAAAATTTTACTAGTAGCTAGAATCTAGTTACTTGAAACAAATAGTAACTTTTCAAGTACAGAAACCTGGTCTGTGCTCTATGAATCTGCCTGTACATGGCAGCTAAGTTGTGGAATTTTTGTGTATGTAGTTAAGATCTTTAACTTTTGTGATAACCCCGAGAATAGTGGGGGTTGGTTTCCAGTGACGTGACAGTCTGCAGATTGTTCTGCAAGCATAATGATGTCAAATTAATTTTGGGGCTGTTAAGGACCCATGTCGCAGCAAGGCCATACTCGGAAGATTAAGTATTGCCATTGCTTCCCTTGTAACCTCTGGATAGTGGCAATTTGCTAGACTGTAAATCCAAACCTGAAGTAATTTTGATGATCTGGGTTCAATTAGCAAATGGTGAAATTCGAATTCATTAAAATATTGGAATTAAGAATCTAATATAAAACTACTGCCAATTGTCAAGAAAAACCCATCTCATTTCTCTAGTATTCTTTACTGAAGGAAACTGCTATCCCTGCTAGTCTGGCTTATGTGATTCTAGACCCATAGCAATGTGTTTGACTATTAACTGTTCTCTGGCTAATTATTGATGGACAACAAATGCTGGCCTAGTCAGTGAATTGTGATTGAATTAAAGAAAAAAGGAGTTGCAACTTTGTTTTTAACAATCATGTTTTTAAAGCACTTTTCGTAACCACTGGACATGTCAGATCGCCTAAAATTTTTGAAGTATAATTGCTTTTGTAGCGTAGAAAGTTGGTAGATACTTTGTGCACAGCAAGCTCCTGCAAATACTGATGTGATAATTATCTGAACTGATTTAGTCATGTTGATTTAAGGGTATGAATACTCTCTAGACTGCTCGGTATAAATACCCTTTGGGGGAAAAAAAACACCATGGATCTTTTTATATTTGCCTGATGCCTCATGCAAGTTCCTGTGGCACTCCCCTTGTTCACAGTATGCCAACCTAGGAATTACTTCTCTACCTTTAACTCTGTTTCCTGTACATTAGCCAATCCTCTGCTTGTCACTACTCCTTTCAGGGGATGTGCTGCTGTTGTGCTGCAATAATCTGTCTTGTGCCATCCTCACACCCATCGTCGCACCTCTAACATTCAGCATCTCGCTGCATATAGGTTGAATCATCTTCCTGCTACTGCCCACTTTCTCTTAGAGAGATCTGTAACATTTTAGCTCTGATTAAACGGCTGAAATACTGTCATTTTTCTTTTCTGTATGTCACCTTTTTGGTGTTCTATTAGCTCTTGCAGTTTCAAGTGCCTCTTCATTTGCCTTATTCATTTCATGGCATTTTTGGTACATATCTCGGCATCCACGCTTCAAAAGTTTCTATTTCCATCCTCAGATCTTATTGTCTAGGTTTCTAAGACATACAGAAAAGCAGAATGTAGCATCTGCTGAGTTTTTTCCCTTTATTATAAGTTTGCATTTTCTTGTTTTACACATTCATCTTCACAACATTGCTTTCTAGCTATCTCTACTTTCTTTATAATTGCTGTGTCACAGCTGCCATCCTCTGTTCTAATTTCTGCTTAAATAGATAAACGTATCTCTTTATTCCGATATGACACGATCCACTTCAATCTCAACCTTGTTTCTTGTATATTCTTTCAGCTGTTATTCAGTATGAACATCAAAAAGGGTGGAACAATATATAGTCTTTCTTGATCTACAATATTCTTAAGGGCTTTCCTGGTTTTAAGTAGATTTATCCTTGTTCCTTTGTAATTATCCTGTGTTGCATTCCCCTTTTTATTTCTTGCTGCCACCCATATGGATTCTGTATTTTCCAATCTAAAATCGTTTCTTAAATTTCATACTTGCATTAACAAACCTAACCCCTCACCTTCTTTCCTTCTTGTCTATCCTCTCAAAGATTGTCTCACCCCTGAATATTTAGTTCTCAGTTCTGATATTCTTGTACCCATCTCTATAATGGCTAAATGATCATGGCTATTAACCTCAATTTGTGCTGTTAACTTAAATATACGTAAATGAATTAAGATCCATTTTCTTTCCTCTTTGACCCTATTTGCTTTTTTTTAATGCTTACTCTCTGCCACTTCCTGTCCCATTCTGGGTATCGTTATCTAAATAGCTGCCATGCAATGGTGCCGTATCTTTTGCAAACCTACTAAATGGTAGATCCACCAATACAACCCTAGCTGTTCACTGCCAGGACACTGGTCCCTGGACAGTTCAAGTGAAGCTCATACCACTAGAACAGCTCCCTTTACCCAGTTCTGGTGCTGGTTTCCCATTTCTCCAACACTTTTGAGAGACCTGTTTAACTCTTTACCTTATTTACCTCCACCAAATTGGCATAGGATTATCTAGAGACTATTACCTTTGAAGGTTTGACTTTAGTTCCTAATTCTTCAAATTCTTTCAAAAGAATCTCCTTCCTAGCCCTGTGATTCCAACATTGACCCTGGGCTGCTTTTTCCGGGAGCTTTGGAGGCTGAGGGGTGACCT